TTTTTCTTTTATTTATGAATATATCTTAACACCAGCGAAATATTGTTTTTTTATTGTTAGTAATTTTCTAGAAAAAAGAATTTTTTCTTTACCGACCGGGAACATTGATTTTTCGTTATCGACTGGAAGATATTTTTTCTTTATTTATTTTGAGTCATTTTTTTGCATTACGTTTGTTTCGCCTTATTTGTCTTCGTGTTAATCTTTTTTTGCTTTATTTTTTCTTTTTTTCACGTTACCGACAGGGAGCATTTTTTATCGACTGGAAGATTTTTTCTTTTTTTTATTTTGCAGGAGTATTTTATTTTACAATACAATATTGCGTCTAAATGTTTGTATATCTTGATAAATTAAATAATAATTTCAAACAAATTAGTAATATTTTCAAATATCCCGCCAGAAAATAATTTCACGTGACGATATAATTCCCGTACGAGGGAGACACTATTCACAGACACATTTTTTCCTAGTAAGTTTCCAATATTGATTGTTCATAATTATTTTCCATTTATTAATTGTGTGGAGATGACGAGTTGTATACATGTACGTTAAATGATTTGATACAAATAATAAGAAAAATAAAAATTTATTAAATTTATTAAATTTGCAATTTTCCATATTTTTAATTCAAATTAAATATAAATACAAAAATAACCAAAATATAAATTGTTATTTCAGTGCTAAAATGGAAAATACGCAAAAGAAAAGGAAAAAATGAACACGAACTTACGGTGACGCGTAAGCATAAAACGATATTAACATCCATTTGTGAATAAATTTCTCAAATCAAATCAACTAATAATTGAAAACGCACCAAAAAAAGAAAAAAAAAGATAATGATATACAGGGTGTTTTATGGTGCAAATTGGGTTCGGATGTTATTGTTGAATCAGACGTGGGGAAACGGTGGCTTGGCCTGCGAGATGACCAGACCCAACACCTTTGGTCTTTTGTCTCTGTGAAAATGTAAAAAGAATAGTTTATTCCGTAAATATTACGAGTTTGCAACATTTGATACACCGAATTTCGTAACGTTCGAAGAAATAAAAAACTGTGACACGCAGGAAGGGAACGTGACACAAAACCTAATTAAAAAATTACAACTTTGCGTACGAGAAAACGGACAACGTTTTGAACGATATCTTCACTGAAAATAATAAACTAAATTCAACGAACGATATGCTGATTATTTTATTATCCTGTGTTTTAATGTGTTTAATGTATTTTTCAATCGTATCCTGACGTAGCGTGTAGTCGTATCCTGATGTAATTTAGTAGTATCTCGAATATTTTTTTCAATCATTTCGTTCATCTTCCAGTTGATTGTTTGTCACTGATATATTGTACCGTTACCTTTCAAAACAATACTTGAATTTAAATTTTTTTTTTATATATATATTTGGAGTTTATATTTGTATTTTAAACCTTAAATTTTCTGTTTTTTAATGTTTCGATCGAAGCAGATTTATGGTAACGAAGGTAAACGTTCCCATATTGAACTATCGGTAATAAACGTTCGACGTATTATCGATTTAAAGCTGAATCGTACAAAGATAAAATCGGACAAAATTAAACGAATCACTTTATTTGAATATCGTTCAATCGTTATCGTTGCTTGAAATAATTTCGCCGTTTCAATCGGTAAATTAGAATTTTAAATAATTTGAAAATATATACTAATTGTACATTTTCTTCAATTTAATACAGGTTCGTTGAATCTATGTTACATTTAAGTCGACAAATTTTCACACGCTATGCTCTGATAGCAAATTTTTAATAACAACGGTATTTTCATAATTACAATGGTACCACCGTATAAGAACAGACAATTGATTTAAATTCCGACTTGGAAAATTTACAGTTAACTATACTTTTTGATATTGATATGAAACGTTTAATTTTTCCATTTCAAGTTAGCCAATACACTATCAATGGCACTGTTGTACCAACATCGCGACGGAAAAACCAGTTACAATAAAAGTAATTGTACGGCAACTTCATCTACAACTTACCATACTGTCAATGAAACGTCGAAAATGTGGGAAAAGTGTACGAATAGCTATCACATTTTCCAGTGTGTATTATAACGATTGAATCATGCGAGAATGTGGCCAATGAAACATGAAACTATGACCCGCGATGAATGCAAAAAGTGTTTACGATGTTTGGGTAAGGTTATGTTTCGTACAATTGTTTTCTTTACTTGGTAATATTTAATATTTTACAATAATAATATTGTTATACACATTGAAGATGTATTAATTTCAAAACGAGTTTTGAGTGTCGGTATCCATAACATGTACGATTAAAACGTATTAAATAAAAATTTGAGGAAACTGCATTCAATTATCATTATTATTTATTGATTTATTCAAATTTATCAGCGTTGTTGTATTGTATATAATGTATTCCTATAAGTAGTTCTATAAGTTTTTCTTTATTTATACATGTTTATTTGATACGTTCGTGTTTGTTGTGTATGATACTACGCAAAGTAATTTATAGAACCAATCGTGTTATATTCCGTCAGATTATATCGTGTCAGAGATACAAGTTTTCACGTTTAAATTCGCGTTTAAATTTGTTGAGCAAGAAATAAATCGTTTTAAATCTGTACGTTAAGTAAATCATTTTAAATAAATCGATGTAATAGTTGTTGGGTAAACGTAAATATTAGTTGTAAGCATCTTTGATGTACAGTAACGCAGATTTTCATTATGAGAAAAAAGTTTTGGGTGAAACTTAGTCTCATCTGCCGTTGAAAGAAATCTTCTGTAACGAAAACTATTGAATTATTTAGAATTACGTTATTGTATTAAAAGATATAATTTAATACGTATGCATTTACATCGAGTATCTATCTATTTATTTTAAGCTTTGTCGCATATTATTTTCATATATTACAATTTATATACTGGAGTTGGCTTTTTTTATAACGCAGAGTTAGAAGCTTATGGAAATATGGTGTCTGTCTTGCGTGCTCAAGGTCCTTTCACTAGTGAAAAACAAAAACTGCTGCAAGAACTTGCTAAAGTTTTACACATTTCTAATGAACGACATCGTGCTGAAGTACGAAGAGCTGTTAATGATGAAAAATTGGCAACTATAGCTGAGCAGTAAGTATTTTGTTAAAACAAAATGTTTTGCACGATTTCTTGTATTATATATCAATTTTCTCTTAATTGTATTAATTAATTATATTATATTAATTTTCTCAGTTTCTTTTCAGTTTTCTTTAATTATCATTCAAAGTTAGTTTATTTTATTACATATATCGTAAAATATATTTGTTACGTAGATTAAATGGTCCAAATACTGGTACTGACTGGACTATCGAAGGTCGACGTGCTATTCCACTTTTACCAAGATTAAAGGCTAGATCTGCATTCGCAACGTTAGCAAATAGCTTGTCTCTTACAACAGTAGCAGCAAACAAAAGGAACGTTCCTCTTCATGAGAAAACAGAGGATGCAAAAGGTTTTAAGGAAAAATATTATCTATTTTGGTAAATGTGTGGTTTTAGTCTATGTAAAATAGTGTATGGCTATAGAACTGTAAGTTAAGCAGATTTAACCAATTGGTATTTTTCAACGTGTCCGTTGTATAAAGAAAAATTCATTATTTCTATGTTTGTTTCTATAGATGTTAGAAATGAATCTCTCGTTGAGATAAAAGTACAAGAAAATTCGATTAGCAGTTACGAGTTTACATCTAATGAAGATAAAGTAAGTGATGAAAATATTCAAACTGAAATAATTTAAATTACGATGTATAATTATTTATATTGCAAAAATATTCAAATTTTCTTGTATAATGCACGCGATACGTTACAGGTTACTGAATCAAATAGGAATAAAGAAGTTAATAATCAAAGCAATACCTCTGATGGCAGCGAAAAATATACTATTTCTCAGAAACGTAAACTCTCTTCCCCTGTTTCACCAGCACTTCCAAATAAGGTAATTAAATTAAAACAAAATAGAGAAACACAGAGAAAAGAGGGAAGATAAAATAAAACAAATAAAAATAACGATATAGGTTCTAGTAGTACCTTCAAGTTCGATAGGAACTCTTAATCGTGGCACTGCTGATAAAGGATCGATAGAAAATACTATTCATTTATCACGAATACCTACAAATTCGTTACAGCATCAAAATGTCACTCTAATACCATTAAATATTAATTGCGAAGAAAATATTACAGGTGATTATTTTCAGTTGTTTCTAATTGATACATTAATGACATATTTTGCTTAAAATGATATACGTTTTTTTAATTAAATAAAATCGTTATGTCAAATTCAGAATCTAAGGAATCGGTAGTACAAGAAAGCATCGGTAATCATTCGGTAATTCCATCTGATAATTTTGTAAATACCGTAATCCCAGTAGGTGCAAGTGTTGCAAAAGCTAAAGGAAGGATAATTACAACGCAGAGTAAGCTTAATACGAAAGTCGGATCTGCAATTCTGCTATCTAATAATGTGTCATGCGCAACGGGAAATAATATTCAGTCAGATGCTCAAGATGCGTCTTCGCAAGACAATTCGAGTATGGATACATTTTTTGATACGTTTTTTTTTTTTTTTTTTATAATTAAATCCAATTGCAATCTAATTTTCCATGCTATTTCAGGTCCTAAAGTGTCCGTGTCCCATAGTTTACAAAAAATACCAAGTTCGGAAAATATGAATTCAGTTACAAGTAACGCAACGTGCGTTGTACCAGTAATACATTCTAACGCAAAACCTCCGATAGCTAAAACTATTGCTTCGAGTAAGCGCTACCAGAATTAGTCATAGCTGAAGCTCCAAAGATACGTGATGAGTTAATTCATTTTCTGTTCTGATCGTTATCAGGTAATTCACATCGACTTATGGCCATTTGCCCTGTTACGACAGTATCTAATGGACCAGGGCCACCTCAAGCTAAGCAAATAACGACATTAACGTGTAAAAAATTACCTACAACGCTCAACAATCAAACCACTGCCAAAATGGTATAGTTTAAAAAATAAATGTACAATCGTACGAATTTCTAATTTTATATAAAAATATTCGAATCGGTGTTAAAATTTAGTGTAAAAATATTCTAGGGTGTTACGCTAAATTCTAGTAAAACTGTAAATATATCTCGTCACTCTGATACGAAATTAGGATCTAAAACAAATGTGATTGTTATACAAAAGGGTCAAACCAAAGGTGTAACTCTTTCTCAAGCAGGCAAGGTATATAATGTGTTTAATTTGTCAGAGTAACACTTCTATCTTATTCATATCTTTTTAATAATTTCCTACCTGACTTTTTATTTGAAATATGAAAGCGCGATATATTACGTTGTAGGAAGTATTGGAGAAAGTAATAATGGGAGGAAAAAGTTTGTGCGTCACGAATCAACAAAATGTAGTACCGCGTCGTGTCACATTGAATAACGGAGATCAAGGTCTAACGGTATTATCCACGACAAACTCGCCTCGTACAGAGGCTATAACGTCTAACATAAAGGTAACTTGATATCTTGTATTTTTAAATTTATAAGCATAATCGATGAAAATACAAACTTTACGTTACTTTTCAGTCTGGAAATACTATTATGTTCAATCTGCGACAGGATATTTTGGAAAAAAATAAAGCATTTTCTCATCTTCTCGAATCATCTAATGTTCTTACCTCTGAATCTAAGACTGTGATACAAAATACTAATGATCTTTCGAAAGAACCAAGTAACAGTGATTTAAATATACAGGATAAAGAGCTAGTTGTAAAAACTGATGCTGTAATTACTACTGTTAAAGATGAGAAACACAGGTCAGTTTAAAACTATCGAAATGTACTACGAAATTGTTGTGTTAAAGTTAAAAAACGCATGTAATACCGACAACTAACTTTATAATTACTTTAAAAACTTTTTGTAAATTGTTCATTGTAAATTAATAATATGTTTTATGTGCAAAGTATTTTACAAATTGAAATATACCCAAAAAATATACGCTTCTTGAATTAAACAACACTATTCATAAACTTCTTATAACTTAAACGAGTAAAATTAAGCGCTTGCATGACAAATAAAAATATTCTATCATTCGTGATTCAAAAAAGGAAAGAAGAGAGTTTGTTACTAGTACTATAAAATTTTTAATTTCTTTAACGTATTTTCAAGAAACAGCAATAAAATATACACACAAAAATTTAATTTATAAGATTTTTTTTAATATACATTATCGAAGAACTAAATTCTATGCATTTAATTTCTAACAAACTTTAATCTTTTTAGAGAAATAAGTTTCTTATTAGAAAGTTAATTTATAAAATTATATACAATGACTTGTCTGAATATCTATACATTTGGTATGCGCTAAATTTGTAAGTCGCTAACAGTCGGACATTTAATAAAAAAGAAACTTGTTAATTTTAATGGTATTTCATTTTGAATTGAAATTTAATATATTATTTTGTAAAAAAATCTTCAATCGTGCAAATTAATTTATTAAACGTGTCTTTTATATTCATAGTGTTAAATATAAATTTTGTAGTTTTTCTAAATTTTGTACAAATAAAAGATACATTCGTCAGATTGTATTTCGCCGTTCTATTTTTCCAAGTTACGAAAATATTAAATGAAAAATAATATGCTCTCGGAGACAATTCTTTTGACAACTTATAAATTGTAAATTTTTAAAGAAAACATATCGGTAGAGGATTTTAATTATACTTGGTGTATTATCTGTTTTGTATTTTAAAATACTATTTACTTGAAACCTAATTTTACATTAATTAATGTAAACTTGTTATCTAACTTGTAAAATTGTCCAAGATGTTCAGATTTTTAGAAAATGTCAATAATATGTGTGATGTGTGATTAGAAATTTTGATTATTGCAGTCAAATTGAACGTTCAGTGTAATTTTATACATGTGTGTGTGTGTGTGTGTGTGTGTGTGTGTGTGTGTGTGTGTGTGTGTGTGTGTGTGTGTGTGTGTGTGTGTGTGTGTGT